AGTTCAAGTGTGCATTAATGTGAGTCCAGTAATCACCTTTCTGCCAATACATACAGGTATAAGTTAAACCTATGGCAGATTTTGGATTTCTCAGTTGTATTAATAGGGTGGTCTATTTGAGTATGCATGCACCTAATAATTATAAAAAACCTATTATAATTAAGTTACAGAAACCTTAAGCGAAAATAGAATATACTTTCTTACCATAACACCTTGAACCCACAATCCATCAGCTGACTCCTGGTGAAATGCAGAATAGAGGTCGTCTCTCAATGTGCAGCAAAAAAAACAAAAACAAAGACAAAAGGACAGCAGGTGAGGGCAGGAGGGGTAGGGATGTAAGCTAGCATAATGCCGCTGATGATATTAGCTAAAGCTGTTCAATGTCCAAAATCTCACTAACACCACGGTGCAGTAAGTACACAATGTAACTGAAGAGTCAGTTGGCAAATCTATTCACACAGAAAACCAAATTATGTTATGAGTGCCTCGTAATTAGGTTTAATGTGATATTACGGCTCTTGTGCCAAAGACAAATTCAAATGAAAAAGCGCCAATTCTTTGACAACAGATAAAACAGTAAATAAGCTAACGGCTCTTTTTTAGCATGTTACATGGCGGCACTCTAGATGTTTAACTACATTTGGCTGAAATATGGTAAACATTAATTCAAAAAATCAAGACATACCAAAAACGTAGAGTTGGCTGCTTGACTTGACTGAGATGGATGCATTTTTTAAACCACGATCCAAAGCCCGCGAGATGAAATCACGCGTGGTTTCACGAGATTTAACGTTGCTATCTTATTGACTTACTTCACCTGAACATGATATGAACAATTTAATACACCCTTTCTGCATATCATGTAGTTTTTACACTATATAGTTACATTTATCTTTAAAACATGAGGCAATTGTGTTAAATACATGCAAGATGCTTACATAAATCCAAGAGATGGCCAGTCCCTTTTTTTCAGTGTTGCTTGGAGAGATTAATACACACTAAAAACTAAAGTATAAATATCTCTCTGCTAAACAGCCCTTTTAAAATTATAGCAGTTTTAATGTGTTTTTTTTTCTTCAGCAAAATTATAGGGTGCAACTAACATCAGTCTGAACTACAAATATGCTTCTGCAATAAACTGTAAAATACTTTTGCTTAAGCTTAATGGATTTGCCACACCCCAAATATTTCAGTTAGTTACAATAATAATATAAATGCATCTCTGTATGACAAATTAGAAGATTCAGAGCGACTGCCCTTCCAGTGTCTGTGTCTAATGCGTCTGGAGAGTCCATTCAGTTTATATGTTGACAAACGTTTCCGTCTGTAATCTGTGTGATTATGGGATCTTTTCCATTAGATATACAGCACTGTGCAAAAGTTTTAGGCAGGTGAGAAAAATGCTGTAAACAAAGAATGCTTTCAAAAATGAAAGTGTTAATCTTTTATTTTCTTCAATCAACAAAATGCAGTGAATGAACAAAAGAGAAATCTAAATCAAATCAATATTTGGTGTGACCACCCTTTCCCTTCAAAACAGCATCAATTCTTCCAGGTACACTTGCACACAGTTTTTGAAGGAAGTCAGCTGGCAGACATCTTGGAGAACTAACCGCAGATCTTCTGTGGATGTAGCTTCCTCACATCCTTCTGACTCCATGTACTGCCAGACACACTCGATGATGTTGAGATCAGGGCTCCGTGGGGCCATACCATCACTACCAGTACTTCTTGTTCTTCTTTATGCTGAAGATGGTTCTTAATGACTTTGGCTGTATGTTTGGGGTCGTTGACCAACTGCAGAATACATTTGAAGCCAATAAACAGTCATTTATATTTCTGAAAGCATTCTTTGTTTACAGCATTTTTTCACACCTACCTAAAACCTTTGCACAGTACAGTATGCTGCCAACAACCTCTATCTATTCCTCTTTTGTGGGGAGGTCTGGTTGTAACAAGTGTCTGGTTAGAGCTTTCCTACCAGCTGATATCAGGACACCAAATAAATACTCGGTCAAAATATATATTTCTATTTAAATGAAAATCGGTGTTTCCCAACAAAAAGACATTGAACTGGAACGGTATGTTACTTTGATAACCACGATTAGCTTCATGATTTCCACAGAGCCTCCAACACTCGGACTTCTCTGTTGAAATGTTAACTTTCTGCCTTGGAGTAATAAAAAAAATCTTATTAGGCATTTCCACCCAAATTCTCTCAATGTATAAGAATTTAGAGCAGCTAGACTATTCCTCTTTTGAGATTACAAAATTTCTTGCTTTGTTTTCTGTGGATTAAGTTGGGGTTTTTTGTATAAACTTGATATAATGCCCCTGTTCTAAAGGAAGTTACTCTTAACATTTCTTTAATCACTGAGTCATCATTATGCATGTTTTTTATAGTTTGGTCAAAGTAGTAGCGTAGCTGAAGATATCTGTAGAAATTTTGCTTGGAGGGCTTGTAAGTTTTTCAGGGTCGATTTATCTGTTAAAGAATACAGGGTTGTAATACTCTTTGCAATCCAGGTATTAAATCTGCAATCCATCTAGTTAGGTTTAACATCTGGATCATGTGCACACTATTTAAATACCTTCACTTTATCCTGTAGGTTATATTCTTCTCTGACTAAGTTCCACATCTTGATGTAGCTGTTTTTATAGACAGGTTTCCACCATGTGGCTTCAACAAACCACGCAGCATTTCAGAAGCTGTGCTTTTTGTCTGCTCTGTCCAACTTTTTACAAGCACTTGACAGGTTTTTAAAACCTTGACTGCTGTACCAGCCCACGGTTTATTCAGACTTTCAGTTATGTAACTTTGCAAGATCTCACTTCACTTTTTTCCCCCCTAAAGTTCCTGACAGTATGTGTCTCCTGCAGTCATAAAACAAGCTATAATCATCTTCTCACTTCAAAATAGGCTTTTCTGGCGAAAAAATGTTCTTGAGAAAGGGTGCTGGAGCTGGATGAGCTGCACAGGAACTGGTAGAAAGTTGCACTGCATTTCCAGGATTAATCCCACCTGTACAGGTGCCTTATTGAGTTTAAAGTGGTTTGCAGGAGATTCCTGATACGTCCTGTGGAAGTTGCACTTTATTCTCAGCAGAACAAACTCCCACAAATTTATGTTGTCAAAAGTTTGATTCTTTCTGATCATTTTTAACACATTTCTGGGTTTTTGAAGTCTGTCATATTCGCACAACCTATGTGCCTTAAAGCTGTCTTTGGTGTGTCTCTACTATGGTAAAGCAGGGTTATGAAATACCAAGCTGACTTTACTGTCTGGAGTGATCTGCTCTGTGAAATTTCCATCAAAGCTGTGAACCCATGTATTTTTAGTGGAGAAGAGTGGCGATCCATTTTTGTGAGTCTTCTGAAGTATGCTGTGGCACATGGTGGGCACAATCAGCTTCAGTGGACACAGCACTACCTGGCACAGCTATCCCTGCTAGACTTTTAGTTACATCACTACTTTGAGAGGGGAAAAGTTATTCTATAAAGAGTCCAAGTTCTGCAGAGTTATTAATAATTATTTTTAAAAACTGAATTTTGCACATCTGCATACTATAGTGTTGACAATATAATTTTTATGCATTGCTTAGAACTCCATGGTTATGCATCATTTTATCCTAATTTTTTTACATTTGTTTAACTATGTAAATATTGTTGTCCATGTTTTACCCTAGTGTTGTTGTAGTAGGTGTACAAGGTGTACAAGATTTTTTTTTTTTTTTTTTTTTTTGAGTATAATTGGCTTTCACATGACCCCTTTGCCGTTTTCCCAGTGGGGAATGTTATTCGAGCCAATCACTCACCATTGTCAGAGGCAGTGTTTCTAGCCTGCAGGGCCCCATGCTCACAAATCTAATCTAGCCATTTAAATGGGGCTTTGCTCTATGCTCCCAGCACATACTGCGTCACAACTGTGTAATTGTCTGGATCTTCACACAAGATAATTATGCCTCATTTTGCAGAGGCTTGAACAAAGACAAAAACCAGAACGTAGTGAAAAAGGAGTGGTAGTTCTCTGCAGGACTTTGAATGTTTTAAAAAGGTTTTGTCCTCTCTTTTAAATGACTGATTTTTGATTTTTATCAAACTCCAGACAAACTTGCTGATAGTTCTGAAATGTTTCATATCTTCTGCTAAAATGCCACCATATAATATTTACCTGACTTTAAACAAATTGTCAGATACAGCAGATCAATCTGAGCTGAAAACTTTTCCCTGTAAATGTGTTTGAGCTAACAGCTGACCCTTTACCTCTGCTCTGATTCGACCACAGCGGAGAACCCCTTGGTGTGCTCGGAGGCTCGCTTTAAGTGTCGAAATGGCCGTTGTGTGGACCGCAGCTTCTTGTGTAATGGACAGGACAACTGTCAGGACAACAGTGATGAGGAGATTTGCTTGACTACAGCAGGTAATGTTTTTTTTTATTATTTAATTTAATTTTTTACTAAATGGAACATCTACTGAGGCATTGAGAATCTAACATACACACAGGATTATCTGGTTATGCAGCTTCAACATACACCTTTCCTGGTAAAATACAATAAAGCATGATTTGTTTCTGTAAGCACATGAAAATGAAACAGCTTCAGCTAAAAATTGTGAAATTAGAAACATGTAAGAATATCAAACAGTTATAGATTCCATACAGATGTATGATGTATACACAGTGTTACATATAATATTTACGCACGTTCTAAACTCATCTATAATACACTCAACAAAAATATAAACGCAACACCTTTGTTACTGCTCCCATTCCCCATGGGATGGACGTAGAGACCTAAAATTCATTCCAGATACACAATATAACCATCCCTCCCAAACAGTGGTCACAAATCAGTCCAAATGTGTGGTAGTGGGCACATCTGCTATATTGAGATAATCCATCCCACCTCACAGGTGTGCCACATCAGGATGCTGATCTGACATCATGAGTAGTGCACAGGTGTACCTCAGACTGCCCACAACAAAAGGCCACCCTGGAATGTGCAGTTTTGTCTCACAGCAAAATGCCACAGATGCCACAAGCAATGAGGGAGCGTGCAATTGGCATGCTGACAGCAGGAATGTCAACCAGATCTGTCGCCCGTGCATTGAATGTTCATTTCTCAACCATAAGCCGTCTCCACAGGCGTTTCAGAGAATATGGCAGCACATCCAACCGGCCTCACAACCGCAGACCTCGTGTAACCACACCAGCCCAGGACCTCCACATCCAGCAGGTTCACCTCCAAGATCGTCTGAGACCAGCCACCCAGACAGCTGCTGGAACAATTGGTTTGCACAACCAAACAATTTCTGCACAAACTGTCAGAAACCGTCTCAGGGACGCTCAACTGCATGCCCGTCGTCCTCATCGGGGTCTTGACCTGACTCCAGCTCGTCGCCGTAACAGACTTGTGTGGGCAAATGCTCACATTCGATGGCGTCTGGCACGTTGGAGAGGTGTGCGCTTCACGGATGAATCATGGTTCACATTGTTCAGGGCAGATGGCAGCTGAGAATGTCCCAGTTCTTGCATGGCCAGCATACTCACCGGACATGTCACCCATTGAGCATGTTCGGGATGTGCTTGACCGGCGTATACGACAGCGTGTACCAGTTCCCACGAATATCCAACAACCTCGCACAGCCATTGAAGTGGAGTGGACCAACATTCCACAGGCCACAATTGACAATCTGATAGACTCCATGCGACGATGTGTTGCACTGCATGAGGCAAATGGTGGTCACACCAGATACTGACCGGTTCTGGGTCCCCAGACCCCCAATAGCGCAAAAAACTGCACATTCCAGGGTGGCCTTTTGTTGTGGGCAGTCTGAGGTACACCTGTGCACTACTCATGATGTCAGATCAGCATCCTGATGTGGCACACCTGTGAGGTGGGATGGATTATCTCAATATAGCAGATGTGCCCACTACCACACATTTGGACTGATTTGTGACCACTGTTTGGGAGGGATGGTTATATTGTGTATCTGGAATGAATTTTAGGTCTCTACGTCCATCCCATGGGGAATGGGAGCAGTAACAAAGGTGTTGCGTTTATATTTTTGTTGAGTGTGTATATATATATATGTTTCATGTTCATTATGGATGCATTTTTGGAGCGTAATGTGCAAACGTGTGAACTGCATCTAAGATATGCAAGCACCAGGTTTATTTAATTATCTTATGAACTGCACATGAATCAAATAATAGGAATGTCAAAAATCAAATGATAGCAGCAAACAAATACCAATCAATTTTACACATACCATAATTACCCAGACTAATTGTGTGCTATTTATAATAACCTTTTAGAGTGATGAAAGATAAAAACCCTGTGTCCTGTTGCAGATTTGTTATATGGAAAGTGGAGCTGCACGAGAATTTAAACTTAATCTTGCGTCAAATAATTATTGCAAAGTGGAAAAACAGTATTTAGGCTTTCCGCTTAATTAAAAAATAATCCTATTTAAGCAGCTTAATAGTTCACAAAGTTGTATATTCAGAATATATCGAAGTATCTAAAGTAAATGTACCTCATTATGTGCAGTAACACTTGTTGGATAGTAATTACTGATTTATTGATGTGTTTATCTCTTTAATGTTGAAGCTGTTGAAGATTTAATAACCTTTATATTGCATGGGAGCTTGAACTATAATATTGCAATTAATCTGCAAAATAATAAGTAACTACAACTTTAAAATAAGTATTGTGGACTACAAAATATATTAGTCGCATCAACATTATAATGGAGTGAAAGCAGAAAGCAGCATAGCATGAAAGTACTTAAATAAAGTACATGAAGTACATTAAAGGAATCGTGTAATCTTTTGGTGTTGTGGCTTTTAAAGAGTAAATGTAGTCCAATGGCTTTGGTTCGGGGTGTGCACTGGAGGAGTTAATCGTATACTGAGGGGGGTTGATGCCACCCCATTTCCCCCTTTTGGAAACACCCCTGTATCCATGCACGTATCAATTTCAATACAATGTTTCATTGAATACATTCCATCACATTAACGCATGGATGCACACATGATTACAACTGTGCATGTGTTTCTTTCCTGCAGTTGTTCAGCTCAGTAAAAGCTATGACTTTTTTGGAGAAAACCTTAATATCATTAACACAAGAGTGAGACAATTTATTTCAGCCTTTCTCTCTCGGTCTTACTCCACCAATACTAATCTCATTAAAGCTGGTCCTTCATGAAAAAAAGCAATTATTAATCTTAATAATTTTTTCTGTATGCAAGACTAATTCCAAGCACATTTCTGCCTTATCAGAAATATTGGCAGTAAACTTTGCAGCAGATTTCCAAACACGTGGAAGCTTGTAGATTCGCTGTTAAACTGGATAGCAGAGCTGCAGTGTTTAGTCACTCAATATGTCATAAAACTTGATGTTTTGGAGACATCACTTACAAGATATTCTGCAGTCTGTGCTTTATAACAAAACCACTGACGGATTAAGCTTTATGCCAAAGAAGACATAAGCTGCTGTGATTTTATTCCCACAACACTGGAAAAAAAAACCTCACTGTGCCTTTATTTAACAGAGAGACACACACCACAGCATCATTAGTGTAATGTTTGATGGCAATGTGTCGACTTGTAGTGTAATTCAGGTAGTAGCAGGATGATCCCTGATAGTGAGAATGATGCCTTCTGGTACAGAATGCCTTATTCACTGTCAGGTAGCACTTATATCTGGCATTCTTATTTTCCTGGCACGACAGCCAGCTACTGTCAACACCTCACTTGTTCTTCCACTGGCAAGCCTGTGATTTCTGCCAGCAGTCTAATCCTGATGCACGTATAACCACCGGAAACCCAGTGTGGACCTGCTGTCAGGTGTTCTTTCATGTTTTAGAAAAAATAAAATAAAAAATCAGTATATAACTGTCCTGCCAGGATGCTGTTGTCATATTGATTTATACTTTGAGAACAAAAGTCTGTCAAAAGTAACACAAACAAAAACAAGTAAAGTGGAAAGTTAAAACTATCAGCATCTATAGCCCACTACACACTACTGTTATTACCAGGACTGAATCAGGCAGAAACTTGATTGAAACTCAAGAGGCAAAACATGTCTACTAAACAGGGAGGAGCACTGCAGCAGTCGCACAGCAGCCGTCAAAAAGTTTTGTCCAGCTTTTCCTCAACTGCCACTGCTGACAAAGTACAAGCAGTAGCTGCTGAAGCTAATTATTCTGCCCAATTTTCCTTCAAAAACTATTATTTTCAAGTCAAAATTAATAAGCTGGAGTTGGTCAACTTTTTCCCACTTTTGTGAAGCTGAATTAATGAATGCATTACTATTATTTCTTCTTGCTTGTGTTATGAAAGAGACAGAGCGAAAAGGCAGTCTATCTGTAATTACAAGCCCGTCCTCCACAACTCAATGCAAAGGCGCAGAATGCTGAATAGCACTGTATTGTGGTGCAGAAATATTGATCGATATCTGTGTCCACTGCACTCCATTTCCTTGTTGACAAGTGAACAATACCAACTCCACTACTTGCTGGAAGAATCCTGCTGGCTGTAGTTTTGGCTTCTGAAGCATTAGACCTCAGAAAGCATTACTTCACACTGTATGGAGAGTTGCAGTGATCAAACAGAAAACCTAATGGTAGATGATTTTTTTGTTTGTTTGTTTGTTTCCAAATGCATTAGAAAGCATTAATCTTTTACAGCTCTGTTACATTATGTCATAAAATGTTCAACTGCATCAATATGGGCTCAGTGAAGATCTATCAAGTGACACATGACTGGGAATTTTGATGGTCCTGAGTGCAATTATTTGGCTCCATTAACTACAGAGAGAAAGTGTTCTGCCTAGAAGCAATTCTATTATAACTGCTGCAATGGTTGACGGAGTGGTTTCTCAGAATGCATCTACGTCTAAACTGTCTGCAGGTGATGGAGTGCCAAGTTTTACCCTTTCTTTATCGCAGGAAACTCCGCCCAAAAAGCTTACATTTTCAGCTATCTAGTTTGCGAGTTTTTGGATTTCACAGAAATGTGTCTGCGCACCAACTTCTAACCTAAGTCTGTTTGGGTATGTTGTTGTATTCCCTCAAGACTTCGTGTCAGCACAGGTTTTATGGTAATATTTGTGTGCATGGAGAGCAAATAACCTAAATGTTCTCTTGCTCATATTTGCTCCTTGAGGCTTGTGTACTGTAGCCTTACGTAAAGTGTAAGTGCTAAAAAGTTGTGAGCTCTTCTTCTTTTGACCCCAGAAAAGGATCAAGGAAGATCAGTTCCATTTTTCGCACACTACTTCTGAAGGAGTGAAAGTATCGCTGTGGTTTGACTCTTGGGATCTCTTTTCCATTTGCACACAGACATTCACAATCAATTCATCACTTTAGAGGACATTTTGTTGTATTAATGTATTAATTTTGTGCCGATTTCCTCG